GAGTGTGAGAACTGCAAATCCGCGAATAGCTCCAGGTACGTTAATTACTACACATTTACCAGCCCCCTTAGCAACGAGCGTTTTTTTTACGCGCGTTAAAATCCAATTAGCAGCCGACGTATTTTTAACGCGAGTTAAAAAAAATTGTTCATGCGCTACATCTTTTACGCAGTGTTGTATTTTGAGCACTAAGTGAATGAAACAAGAGTGATTTCTGAACTTACGTAATGAGGAATTATTGTACAATCAGCTGCAAAAATATGAACCTATTTACCAATTTATAGTAACTTGTATACAATTTTGATTAAAAAAAAAATGTATATATGTGTAACTCTATTTTTTCAAACAGTAAATATATTATTGACGGATAAGTACATAGATATTTTGTTAACCAAAAGACTTATATAAGTTTAGTGAATGTATACATTTTTATGCAGTATTTTAGTACGTATTATCATGCGTGACGTGATCACCCCTGTCTTGTTAAGGGTGATTGTAGGTAAATGTGTGTGACCAGATGGGTGCTGGAGGAGGGCTGGGACGCGGCGGAGGCGGGCGGCGGCACGCAGACGCTGCAGCGCCGCGCGCCGCCGCCCGCGCCGCCGCCGCCCGCCACCGCCACCCTGCCGCAGCCCGTCACCAAGCTCAGGTACGTGCGTAGGAGGTGACAGAGGGAGGTACGATGTTATAAACTAGCTTTTGATCCCAACTTCGTCGGCGTGAAAATAAAAATAGTAAAAAACATACTGATAACGTAGCTTTTTAATGGTAAAAGGTTTTTTGATCCTTCCTCTTTCCTTTCCTCTTTATAATACGACTTCGCCCGCGTGAAATAAAAAAAAAAATAGAAAAAACAGCGCCTGCTACTCACTGATAACGTAAATTTTTAATGGTGACTGAATTTTTAAAATACGCCCCAGTAGTTTTTGAGTCATTTCAATGCAAAAATACAAATCTTTCCGCTTTACAATACGACTTCACTGGTGTGAAATTAAAAAAAAAATAGTAAAAATATGAAAAAAATAATTAAAAAAAGTAGTTTTTGAGTTATTTTAATACGTACAAAATTAGAAACTTTCCTCTATATAATATTAGTATAGATAAATATAGATTTACATGTAATAATTAAATATGTCTTTTAGTCGAAATGCATCAGGACCACCATCTAAATGGGAGAATTGGTTCAACACGATCCCAGACTCGGACACGGAGTCTGAAGAGGAATAATTGTACATATTTCTAATTACAGTAGAACCTCGATTACCCAAACCTCGGTAACTTAAAAATCTCTCTTACCTCAAAAAATAATATGTTCCCTTCCCATCAGAGCCCAAAACCTCTATAACAAAGACCCTTGATAACTTAAAACGTCTATAGCTTAAAATATTTTGTTTTTCTCTTGGACTTTAACTTGTCGAGGTTCTACTATATAACATTTATTTATACTAAAGAATAGCTGGAAATGTTGATTATTTTAGCACTGTCTTGTTTCATCGATGGTTCCTATGTAAACTGTCGCAAGACAACATATTGCATTTTACAACTTTTTATTTTATGTTGCTTGATATTTATTTCTGTGTCAATTTGAAAGTAACGTTAGAAAGAGTAACTTCTACAGTTACTTTTGGTTGCCTAATTTTCATTTTTGATGCATTATTAATCGTATTCATGTTTAAAGTTTTGTTTTTCAAAATTTGCGTTTTAAACATATGACAGTTTACATAGGGGCCAATAGTATCTCAAAATTATAATTTTATTTATTTTATTTACAAATGTTATGTGATTATTTAGTTTTTTTTTAACTAAATGTTTAATTTTACGAGTACAAATAAAATTGAGGTTATTAAGTTTATGTTTTGTTAAAATGTTTGTGGCGTAAAATGTTTTATTGTAATATTTATTAAGATAGTTTGTAAGTAGATGTGTTTGTTTCCGAGAGTTGGCTGTACACGGACTGCTTTAAGCAGATCTCCAACTTGTGTATGGTGGACCTTAGATGTCAAAAATACCACCGTAGAAAGTACCACCAAGTATTAAATCGTGATTTTTAATTTGCCATTCCAATTCATCAGAATCGTTTATATTTTATTATAAATATGCAATATTTACAATATTTTTTATTTTTTTTTAGTTATAAAATTTCATGACTTTAGATGATTTTGTGTTTAACCAAAGATGTGTGTCAATGTTTTTATTTTTTATGTTTTATTGGTAATTTTGAGAAATCGCAAAGCGATAAATTTTTTGCAATATTGTTTTTTTTCTCTTTATTTTTTATAGGGATTTTGGTTCCTTATAACATGTCAGTCTTAATGTTTTTTTTATGTCGACTTCAAAGATGATATTATTTTTTTATTATTTCTAAACGTGCCAAATGAATGTGAGGATGAAACGAATCGAAATCGAATTCTAATTTACAATTTGTAGTTAGGTAGATGTTTCTTAAATATACTTTATGTATAATGTAAGTGGAATAGATTTAAACGATAAATGTATTATAAGATTCAAACTTTATGACAGCTCGTGGGTTTAGAGGACATTAATTCAGTATTCAAAGCTAAATTTAACCAAAAACGAACTGCACAAAAACTACGGTGAAATTAGTGTGAATTTTAAAATGTTTTTAGATTATTTATTTTTGAATAACTTTATGAAATAAAACACTATTATTTTACAATCAATCAAAATTTATTACTAAATAATCATTAAAAGTCAAATGTAGTAAAAACCATGTATGGACATTGACGTTTCTCTGCTTAGTTTAAGCTGACTAAAGGACGTAAAAAATTGTGTTGTACAAAATGTGTGTTGTACCAAATTCCGAGCTGACACAAAGTTTGCATGACACTGTACGAACTCGAAGTGAGTAAATCAAATATTTTCATGATAAGCTAATATTTTTGATGTGTCACAGTATTCTAGATTGTTCCAGCTCGAAAGATATTTTAATATTGAATAGTTATCAGTCTCCGTATTTAAATGTAGAAACTTATGAAATTTAATAAATAAAAACTATTTTTGATTGGATTGATTCGTAAAATTAACGCTAGAATGTTAAATAGAATTAGGTTAGAAATTTGAAATTTATCTGTGTAATGTTCGTTGTTTTATTCTGTGTAATTGTTTTCTTATTTTATCAATTAGTTAAGATATCTGTCGTTAAAATTGAATTTTCAGATAAGATATTATCAAAGGGATATAAATTCAAGATGGCATCCTTTTTACTCTTTGTTGGAATGTAGTTTTCTATCCTTGTCATGCAATGTTAAACTCGAACGACGTCACGATGACGTCACTGCGCAAATAAAACGAGATAACTAAAGATAAACAAAAAGGATGGTTTAGTTGTTTTGTAAAGGAACAATGTATTTATAATGCATGCATTATTAATGATATTTCCGACGCCAAAATCATTCATATTTTTTTAATTTATTCAAAACGGATAGTTTTAAGGTTATTTAATCTTTGACAGTTCATAGTGTTACCATAATCTGTTTGTCTTTTATGATTGTTGTGGGAAATTGTTTTTCTTTGTTTTATTGTAACTCTTAAGGGAATGTGATGTTAACAATTATGTGATTTGTCTGTCTTGTTGTCACGTATAAATAGACATTTCCGAACCAAATATACTAAAATAAATGAACTAAGGTACATAAGGTTGTTTTATTTCTTTATTTTTCATAATAAAAAGAGTTTTACATATTAAATTATTTAAACTTTCGTGAGACAATTTATAACTAACTAGCTGTTTCCGTGCGGCTGCATCCGCATGAAATTATGAAAATTTCATTTTATTGCTTACATTTGTCAAATTAACAAAAGCAAATGTCAAAATGACATGACATGACAAACCTTGACATTCTTACTTCCTTGATGTTGGCAGCAACTTATGGTCTCTTTCCCACATTAGGGTTTTTATCCAAAATATTTACCCCTTAAGCTTAATGGCGTGAAATTATAGCCTAAAGCGTGACGTAAGTGTAGGGCTTTTGATTAAAAAAAGAATAATTTAAAAATATGCTGTGATTGCTGACATCTTAGGCAACAAAGAAGTGTGTGTTTACGCTTTATTATAATGGTATAAGTACATTTACATAATTAACAGCTCGTCGCTTATGGTCTCTTTCCCACATTAGGGTTTTTATACAATTCATTTACCCCTTAAGTTTGTAAGCGTGAAAATATTTAGCCTCAAGCATAACGTAAGTGTAATATAACAGTTATGAATAAGAAAATTTATGGTCTAAACTTTTAAATGTATTTATTTACTTATTAAAAAAACCAACACCTTACAATAAAAACATTATATCTAGTATGTTCTAGCTATGTAGTATGTAGATCAAAATGGCTATATATCGAAGCGATATTTGAACACTGATTTATAATTAACAATTTTTTTTAAATCAATAGAATAATGCAAGATAAGAAAAGTAAGAATTTTGATATGAAGAGATTCTTCGAACTGCTTTCTGGATCTGGCAGCCAGGGACCACATTGCCGGTATCCTTCTTCCTGTAAGAAATAGATTTTAGTAACTAGCATTAATGCTTGAATTAATCATACTTCATACCATCATTTTGAATAATACTAGCTTTTGTCTACGACTCCGTCCGCGTGTAATTAACAAAACGAAAGTGAGTAACCTATGTGTTCTTTCAGGCTATCCTCTAAATCTAAACTAAATTTCACCCAAATCCGTTTAGCCATTTAGGCTACAAACTCTAACAATCCATACATCCATCTAAGCTTTTGCATTTATAATATTAGTATAAACAGTACGATTACAAACGCGAAAGTTTAGATGGACAGATGGATGGATGTTTGTTAGAATTTGTAGACTAAACGACTGAACGGATCTCGATTAAATTTGGCATAGATGTAGAGGATAGTCTGGAAGAACACATAGGCTACTTGATTTTCTTTTGTTTTAATTTCACGCGGAAAGCGTCGCCGGCGAAAGTTAGTCAGTATATTAATAAGCTGGAAGCAGATATTATTCGTTTTTTAAATTAATAACCAATACATACATATGAGTAATTATGTGGGAAGCACTGCACGTGCGGCGGGCGGCCTGGTAGCGGTACCCGGTTACGCCAGCATGCCAGTCGGCTCGCTGACGGTTCCAGTCCTGCACGACCGTCCGCCATCTCCACCTAATGTCAAACACAAAACAAAGCGGCATAACAATGAGATTGACAGGTGATGTTAGTATTGTACAGTCGGGAAATTTAGCGATGTTCGATCTGATAATATATATATAACACAGATATTCATACATATATAACATATATTATTTATTCTCAAGTATTTAGGTTTATTGTTACATCTTATTTTATTTATTCTATACATATATCATATATCATCTTGCATATTTATTTTTCTTTCATAAATTCATAATAATACCGAAACGCCGTAAGCGTAGGTTTTTAATTATTATTGTATAAAAATATTTTTCCTGCTGTTTTCGATGCTCACGATACAGGCATTGCCTAGTGTGGGCATCACTAGATCAATCACATTTTATCACTATTTGTATTTATCTTTTAATTGGTTATAACTTTTATTGTTAATTGTTAATCTGTTATTTTTCAATAAATTTCAATTTCAATAAGCTACTGTCGTTTAAAATGTTTGTGTTGACACGACTTGGAACAATAACCAATAGGATTGCTGAATGCTTTTTCAAATGTTATGCGGCTAATTGTTTATTATTTTTATCCCGTAAACGCAACTCATTGCTTATTTGGAAGAAACGTATTCTTGTAAGAAACAAGGAAATATTTCCGCAGGTATAACACGGGGGATTTCCACGACTGTACGTAATTACATAACGTCTGGCAACTCTGGGATCTAGGTGTTATAATTAAAGATTTAATTTTAATCATGAAATAGAAAAAAAACAGTTCAGAATTATTCAATAATGGTGACAGGAATCCAGACATAATATTTACGGAGTTGAAAACGCAATAATTGTTATGGCTAAGGATTTTGTTTGTTATTGTAATCAATCAGCGGTGTAGATACGTCAATAAATGTTGAAAGTAGCCGCGGAAACCTGTCTTACTTCGAGATGCAATCAATCGCAATCAGATATATCTAATCTTGATAATATCAATCTTAGAGTGCATCAATATTTCAATCGATCGAGATATAAATCGCACAATAATTGCAACGTTAATTTTCAATGGAGTTAAAACTACTCATTTAGGTTATAAATGGATAGTTGTGATTTATTAAACGAAACTAGTTTTCTCAGCACCAAAACAGCATCAGCTAGCGTCTTTTTAGAATAAAATTTTATAAGAATATAACATAAATGATACTGCCCTTTGCCATTTAATATCGGCCTCTGAGTAAAGGAAAGATAAAGTGTACCGACACGCCTCAAAATCTTATTATGAGTTCCGCCAATAGAAGAGTTTTAAAGAAAAAAATAACAGTGTTAGAGTCCGTTTTAACATCTAGTTTTAGGCCCTTTCCACCCTTTTCTTGAGAGGAAACGTTGGGAACGGAACGTGGATTCGATAGTAAAAGAGACTCATAGGAAGGGGAAATATCCTCTTTATCTGCGTCTCGTACTCCGTCGATTAAGGGTCTGCAATTGCGGATGGCGGTCGCTTCGCCATTTCAGCGGTTTCAAGTGACCGCATGCTCGGTTGCCACCTTTGTAATATAAAAAGTAATTGGATTGTAAGCGTAGATACCCGTTCATTGGTAAGTGGGTTGTTGAGCGGTCGTCCGCGGTGCGGGCAGGCGTTGTACACGGCGAGCAGCAGCAGGTTGGTAGCGGGCACGGGCGCGGCGGCCAGCGGCCAGCGGCACGCGTGCGCACTGCGGCGCAACGCGTCCATTGCCTTTGTTGTACGCTGAAAACAACACAGAATCTAGGCCCTACATTCTAGAGAATTCAATTTAATGTGATCTCTATCTTATATATATCTTTCTTTTATAGCCTACCCTATTACGTAATTATCTCCATTGAATAATGGCAGTTACTCCTCGGTAAGACGAAAAAACCTCATGTTTAACATGTTCTTCTTCATTTAATAAAAAAAATTGACCATAAAAAAATACCTATTATGTTAAGTAAATTAAAGCAAATCTCTTGTAAATCATAGTTCATACTAATGAATGCAAAAGTCTAGATAGATGGACGTATGTTAGAGTTTGTAGCCTAAACCGATGAACGGATTTAGACAAAGGCGTAGATACTTACGTTTTATTAATTCCACGCGGGCAAAAGCCTGTTAGCTCATAAAGATCTAATATCATAGCTAATAACTAACCTGCAATTGATAGACAGGTCTAGAACGATCGCAGGCCGCGAATCGTGTCCTGTTAACAAGCACACGCCGGTCATACAACCGCTCGTACTTCTCCCTCTCGAAATCCTTCTGCACGCGTCTGTGTCGCTTCATCTTCTCGGCTTCTGTCTCTGCTGTTACTATATTACCTGTGTAATATAATTAGTTTAAATAATGCTTTTTATATAGAAAACATAAAATCCTTTGTCACTTACCAGTGCTAAGTAAAAAGAGAAGTGTTGCTAGGTCACTACTGATGTGGAAGATTGCCTTGATTGATACCCACAATGATCGCAGCACAGAAGGTAGGGACTGAAAAAAACTTTATAATTTGTATTTAAACTTTATTAAGAAATAATAATAACTAATTTTAACGATTCCCGCTAACATTATAAAGAGGAAAGATTTGTATTTATGTATGTAACCCAAAAACTATTGAACCGATTTCATAAATTCTTTCACCATTAAAAGCTACGTTATCGCTGAGCAACATAGGCTAGATTTTTGAATTTAACGTGGAAGAAGTCGCGAGCAACAGCTAGTCTATACTAATATTGTAAAGAAGAAAGATTTGAATTTTTGTATGTATTGAAATAATAATAATCAAAAACTTCTGGACCGATTTCATAGGCTTTATTTTAGTATTTTTTTAATACCACTTGACTAAGTCGCGAGCAACTGCTAGTCCTTAATACTTCTGATTGATATTGATGTCATAGGGCCGGGACATGTGTACCAATGATTGTTTTTTTTTTATTTGTCATTTTTATAATAAGTAAATTTTAATGTTTTTCTTTGTATTTTATGTTTAGACACTTATGAATACGTATTGCTCTTCACAAATGGGGAAAGGGATTGGCTCCTGCAGCACAGGGGAACCTAGTGCAGGAGCCAAGGCTCTCATAAAATGAGTATATTTTTTAAGTGAAATAATGAAGGATTTATTTATTTATTTATAAATGATTTAGTGTTGCGCTACTACTGCATGGTGCAGATTTCATCTTAACACTAATCAACTTACAGGTGCAGCGGCTCGTATTTTTTCATTCTCCGGCGGGAAGCAGACGCCCTGGTAATCATGTATCCAGTGCAATTTGAATACGCTCGCGTTGAGGAGCGCCGCCATTGCTGCTGGATGCACATTCGCGAGGTGATCCCTTAACGGTTCTGTCTCTATATCGTCGTCTAAATCCTCATTAACTTTAGACACTATCCAACCTTCCTCGTCTATGAGGACACACGACCAATCTTTGTTGTCGCAACGAGGCTCGCATTTACTTTCGTCTTCTTCGGGACACTGAAAATGTTACATTAGATAATTATTTTAACAGTCTGTGGCAGTCAAGTGGTTGTTCTTAATGTAGATTTCTTAGGAGACTTTTACACTTTCTCCCGTAGTTATCAATCAACGACTACATACGGTAGTATGGCTTTGACCTTTACATAAGATATATATAAGATTTGACTTTCTATGATTAGCAAGATTTACGTTTACAATACAAACAAAATAAATAAACGTACCTAATTTATGAAGCATTTCAGAGCAAACGTTGAATAAAAACCAATTATACACTACCTACGCTAAAATATCAGAGGCTAAGCCCATCATTAGAAGTCCAAAAATTCCTTTAAGATTTTCTAGTTCATCTATTTAGTTTCTAAGATTACTTTCCATAGGATATTCTGCTATATTTGTACATAAACTTACATGTATATTAGTGACAGTTTTAAGCAGGTCGTCTAGATGTCTTGGATAGAAATGGAATCCGGCGACGCCGAGCATGCCCTTGCTGCCGTAGTCGATTACACGCGCCGCCGTCAGCCACATCTGGTGCTCATTTACCTGTGAAATCAAAAGAAAACTTTAATACGTAGATTGATCTCAGGATCGTTTCATGCAGTGCAGCTTCATAACTTCTGGAAGCAGTTATTACAAAGTTAAATATCATGAGCGTCGGTGGCTCAGGGGTTTTAGCACTTGACTTGTAATCTACAGCTCCTGGGTTCGAAACCCACCATGTACCAATGTGATTTTCGAATTACATAATTTACCCGACGCTCTTACGGTGCAGGAAAACATCGTGATGAAACCTGCACATGTATGCGAAGCAATACAAAGATATGTGTGAAGTCACCCAACCCGCACTTGGTCAGCGTGGTTGCAAGTGTGCTAGCTATTGGTCTGTCTATTCCCAGCCTATTTTATGTTGACTTTGACATCCTTTTGACCAATTTGCATTGAGAACGTTAAAAGGAAAACAACAGAAATTCGGAAATAAACGTTCTTGGTTTATACTTGTGGTTGTGGCAAATCAGTGTTGCGGAGACGGCGTATGGGCGCTAAAGGTGCGTGTATGATGAGAGCGGGTGCATGTGCAGCTGCTCTCGCGAACCAGGGCTCGGTGGCGCCGCGCGACCACGCCGCGCCAGTCGGCGGCACCGCGTGCGGGCTTGTCGCCTCGTAGTACTGCCAGCGGGTCAAACCACTCTCTGTATATAGAACAATAGGAAATTTACACCTTTGTTTGATAAATACAATATTAGAGGAATTCTAAACTATTTGTCGTTCTATCAGGTTACGTCGTCTTCCTCCTTTTTCGCACACACCTTTGACTGAACTATCACACAATTGTTTAGTCTTGGTTTGATTCCTATGAGCTTACATGGAGGTGCGCTCGATTTTTGTTGTCCAACTAAACAGGTGAATTGGCTGCAAAACAATCGACAATCGCACAACAGTTGCGATAGTTTAGTCAAATGTGTGCGCCCGCTCTATGTGTCCGTATCCTGTATACTTGAAAATATATAAACTTTTCTGTTCTTATGTCAACGAGTCGAAATACTTTTCTTCAAAATTATTGACGCAGTCATACTCTTTGAAAAAAAAAATTGGAAACATGTTTCGTAATTATAAATTGTTACCACTGGCAAAGAATGCGATGACAGAGCCGAGCTGGCATGTAGAGCAGTCCTGATCTTCGTCTATCTCTGACCACTGCGCTGTTGCTACCGCCTCTGCTGATATCCGCGCCATTAGCTCCTCATTACCTGTACAATCGCATACCATTTGAGTTCACCTATCTTCTACTTCCCGCTATCTTTTTCTTATGTTGTTAGAAGATTAGAATAAGTCACACATATTTCAGTTAACTTACTTGCGAGTAGCATAACTGGCTTAAAGAATAGATAAAAAATTGTATAAAGAAAAAAATCAAACAGAATTTAAAATTAACATGAACGCTTTTTAGTACAAATAACGGAATACAAGGAACTCGGGAAAGCAATTTATCATTTATGTTAACTTACAATGGTAAGGTTTCTCTTGTAATGTTGGTGGTATTGGAGAGAAGCTGTGTTTGAGATTCTGCATTTGAAAATTAGGATCATTTTTACGACGCTTCAAAAAGTACAAGATCTCATCCTTTTGCGAATCGAATTGTGGTTCCACGTGCTGGCAGTATAACCTTAAAATGATTAATAGATCAATAAAAAATAAAACAGTAAATAAAAAACATCATAAAACAAAAGAACACTAATAAAATTACCAATCGGGATGTGTGCAGAAATCCGTGTCAGAAAGCGTTTTATACGCCTCCTTGGCGAGTTGCTGTGTGAAACGCTTGGTATTTGGTACCGCGTGCCTACCTTCTTTATTAGGTAGGACTACCACAGCTGTATAATGTTCTAGAATACGTTTCCAATGGTATTGTCGCGTCTCCAACAACGCTCGCATGCTTTCATCGTAAATATATTTGCTGTACATCGTTTTGTTGCCTGCATGTTGATCGATTACAAGTGTGTTACGGAACTGGAAATAAAACAATTTTTAAAACTGTAATAATTCAAATCACATTAAGCGCAGGCCCACCTTCGACTAAACTATCGCACAACTGTTTAGTCGCGCTTTGATTCCAATGAGATTATATGGAAGTGCGATCACTAATCGATTTTTAGTTGTGCAACTAAACAGTTGAATTTGCTGGGAAACAATTGACAATCGACAATCGCACAACAGTTCTGCGATGGTTTAGTCAAAGGTGTTCGTGTGCTCTAAGATTATACATTGGATGGTTTATTACTAGTTAGATACAATATGAAGGGCCTGTCCCACCTCTGGCTGATAGTCTCAGATGGCACAGACGTCACTGTTAGAGTACCAACGATACTTTCATCACATATTTTACACGTTGGATTGTTATCAGACAATTTACAATTTGGTGGGACAGGACCTAATTGTTGTGTTTTAGCTCTTATTTGTATATTTACAGCGTGTAGAATGATCTTGCCATTTCAGAGAAGTCATCTCAAACCATAAATAGCAAAAGGCTGCAGATAAAAATAAAGAAATTGCATAATAAGATTGCTTTTAATACATCAGATTTGTTACATAACCTACGCTAGTTGTGACAAATATTAATAGTATCCAAGCTATTATTGATAAAAAAATAATTGGCACTGATTTATTGTTTAATAATCTCTTTTTTTATCTAAATCATAATGAATGTTTCTAATGTTTGACGTTTATATCAGATGTCTATCGTTTTCATATCCTATTATTATAATTAGTATTTGGAATGTGTACATTAGAGGAAGTTTGAAAGTAGCGCACGTGGTGGAGAAATTGAGAAGCAAAAGGTTAGCGTGGTATGGACATGTTATGCGAAGAAATGATGGGGACATAAACCAGAAAGTGTTGAGATTGAATGTGGATGGCTACAAAGGAAGAGGAAGACCGAAGAAAGTATGGATGGATTGTGTGAAAGAGGATATGCTTAAGAAAGGAGTGGATTCAGATATGACGGCTGATAGAGATGTATGGAAGAGCAGCACATACTGTGCCGACCCTCCATAAGGGATAAGGGCAAGTGGATGATAATTAGTATTTGGAATATTCTTATTGCGAACATTTTAATTAATAAGGACTGACATTACTACGAAATACGACAAAATTGCACACGCCTTCTAATATTTCAGAAAAGCCCTCTCTAGATAGTATTAGGGTTGCCAACATTCAACAAATGAAAACAAAAATTCCGGAAAATAAAACAACGATCGACATGTCTACTTAATGTGACAACCTTAGGTGGGATTGTGGTTATGTTTATAAATTAACTGGCTTTCTCCCGTGAATCCGTCCGCGTGAAATTAAAAACAAAACAAAAGTGAGCAGCTTATGTGTTCTTCTAGATTATCTTCTACGTCAATACTAAATATCATCGGAATCCGTTCAGATGTTCAGGCTACAAACTCTAACAAACATCCATCCATCTAAACTTTCGCATTTATAATATTAGTATGATTAAAAATACCTCGAGCCAATCTTTAGGATATTCTCTTGGCAGATGATCAGCTGCCGACTGCTCCAAGTCTAAGAAATCCACCGTTCGATAGCCTGGTTTTAATATATCACCGTCAAACTAAAAAATAGTAGAATATATTACAAAATAGACATTCAAATACGTTAAAAGCGTCTAAAAATATTTAACAGATATTTACCAATGGCTTTGTGTTATCATGAATCACAATGCTGCCTCGGTGATCTAAAAGAATAAATGAACCTCCAGGTCCGAGCTGAAACAAGAGTCATCATTAGCTTGCCCTTGTCCCTACGGAGGGTCACAGTATGTGCTCTACCATACATCTCTATCAGCCGTCATATCTGAATTCACTCTCTTAAGTGTATCCTCTCACGTAATCCATACTTTCTTCGGTCTACCTTTGTAGGCATTCACATTCAGAGCGGGCTCACTAACTAAACACTCGCACGACTGTGCGATTGTCGATTGTTTCGTAATTTCAACTGTTTATTTGCACTAAAAATCGAGTACTAAACAGTTGTCAGTGTACTAAACAGTTGTCCGATAGTTTATTCAAAGGTGAGCGCACTTTAAATCTCAACAATGCTAAGAAAATATTCTAAGAACCTATCTCACCACTGGCTGATACCTCTCAGATAGCTTAAAAATGACGTCACTGTCAGATAAGAGAAGAAAATCCGATATTTCCATCACATATACACGTTCGATTGTTATCAGACAATTTGGTGGGACAGGCCCTTAAATATAATACAGGTAAAGAAAATATTCAGTTAAAATTCCAGATAACAACACCAACATTATATTTGTCCTTCAAATTGTAATCAGAGCACTCTAACTGATATCAGGCAAAGTACACGCCGTATCTAGAAAAATAAAATGTTTGCTTCCGGTTATCGTGATATCAAGGTCGAAGCTTTATCCTCAGGGAGGGGATTAACTTAGGTTTACCGAACTGGTGATGCATAAAAAGGAATCATATCATACTAATATTATAAATGCGAAAAATTAGATGGATGGATGTTTGTTAGAGTTTGTAGCCTAAACAGCTAAACAGATCTCGATGAAATTTGGTACAGATGTAGAGTTTAGTCCGGAAGAACACATAGACTACTCACTTTTGTTTTTTTTAATTCCACACGGGCGAAGTCGCGTGCGATAGCTAGTACATAATAAATAATCACATTTCCACCTTTTTGCTGAAGACATAGCATGTACAGTCAGCTGTGTAAATTTAAATACGTTTACAAAACGTTTATACGTCTTCCGTTTCAAAAATCAACACATTCGTCCGTAGGCTTCCGACGGAATACGCAACATTCACAAATACGTACATGTTTTATATAAACCAATGGCGAATTTAATTTTTTAAAGATTTGTAAATGTATAAATACTTATGCAGCTGACTGTACTAGATATAAGACGTCATTTTGAATTAATTCCCTTCTTGCATTCCTCTCATGCTTTCTAGAGAAAGGTAGACCTTTGAGAATCATTCTCATTGCTTCCTTGTCTTTCCTTACCTGATAGTAAGGGACGTGAAGTTTTAAATGGTCAATAGGTATATCGACACCGGCCACACCGAGAAGTCTGTTTACAGGGTACTAAAACATAAAACAGTAAGTATCTCTCGAAATAAAGATTCATAGTATGTAAATAAAAGAATAAAATATTCTATATGTTTGTTTTCGATATACAAAATTGAATGATTTTAACGAAATAAACCTTACCGTTCGCGTTGAGTTTCTTTGTTTCTCCTGAAAATTAAAATTTTGTGTAACTAGTTATATTATGTAGTTGTATGTAGTTGCTTGTATTATACTCACCTCATCCAGTTTTATTGTAATATTCTGAAATAAATATTACAGATTAATAAAACGAAATGATGAATCGTTTATTTTTCTAAGCGGAGTTAAGAATCCTCACATCGTAACAACAATCTTTGAGGAAAAAGCATTTACATGTTTGAAATATTTTTATATGTATTTACTGATAATGCCATTTCTATGAAATGGTTATATTTATACGAGGAATTAACTCTTTCTTGGAGATATAGTGATGGATTTAATTCCTCGCGATAATCGTACATTGTGATAAATACGCCACTCGTGGGATAGATTAAAAACTGCGTACTAAACATTCGAATCATTTTACACTTTGTTTGGTCATTGTGTAATCTGTTGGATTAGGTTGTAGAAAGAATACGTAGTAATTGTATACGTGCTTTCATTATTGTTACTGCAGTCGTCAATAATTTTTTTTTTGTCGTTAATAAAATAATCAGTACTTAGTTGCAGGAATTTTAAAAATCCCATAATTGCATTGGTGGCGTGTGGCGTAACATTTGTTGTATTTAGCTATAAGTTATGTCTTTTTGATTTCTGTATATAATTTGTTTTTTTTTTCTTCTTCATTATCAGTTTTTTATTGTATTTTAACTATGTTTTGTAATATTATGTATTTTCACATATATAGTGTCACATATTTATTCTGTAAAGATGCTATATTCTCGTTATTAAATAAAATGAAATAAAAAAGCATTAGTGGAATTTAATTTCTTACAGAAATGATACGCTTTTTAATTAAGTTTTAATTTTTGTTTATCACTTACTTCTAATGTAGTGTGTTCGAACACGGGCACGGAAACTGTGATTAAAAGACGATAATTCAAATCTTCACCTTCGTAATAATAACCGAATTCATCCTGAAAATAAAAGAATTTTTAATTAGAAATAGCAATTACAGATTGCAATCTCTCTAAGAAGAAATTGAGATAACGATATCTATTGTTCCAGCTGTCTTGGCAATCGAATTCAACTTTAAAAAATGATAGGGCGTCGAAAGAAGCTATGGGCGACTAACGACTCTAACGACATAACTCGTGCCTCGGGACAGGCACGAGTTATGTGGGACTCTCCCCGTAATGGGGCATACCCACTAAACCCCTTTATTCCCTCCTGGCCATTGTGTGGGACGCCACGGGATCGCTTTCGATTGCCACCGCGACGCCCAACTGTCGACTAACGACCCTAGTGATTTAAAATATGTAAAAGAAGACCATATTAATGCCCCTGTTCCTCCCTAGATCTAGTCTACAAACTCAACTGGTAAAACCAAACTATCGCAGAACTGTTTAGTCTCGCTTTGATTCCTACGAGGTTATATCGAGGTGCGTACAACTCGATGTTTAGTTGTGCTAAATAATTGAATTGGCTGGGAAACAAAAGACAATCGCACAACAGTCCTGCCATAGTTTAGTCAATGGTGTGTGTGGTTTCTCATATAATCACTTACAAGACTTAACTGCCGTCTATAGTCTTTGTATAACTGGGATTGGTTGAGTAGCTTCGCTTTGTTTTTACGCAGCTGTTTGTATCTGTACACTTGCTCTGCATTTTCCTTCTGTTTCCAATAATATTCTCCTCGTCTAGGGTCCTGAAATAAAAAAAAAAACCACTAGAATATGTTTAATTACTCTTAAAGACGCAGAAGGAAAATTGTTTGTAAGGCGATTTCGTTCACCGTTCTCCGTTAGTTTTAGTTTTACCGCACAACTATTCTGCGATTGTCAATTATTTCGTAGCCCATTTAACTATTTAGTTGCACAACTAAAATCGAGTAGTATACGCACCACATAAGTTCATAGGAATCTAAGCACACACACTAAGTGGATAAAAAGAATTCAATATCTTTTCAATTCAATTACTGATTATTGACAGTTACCTCTATATTAGCATAGACATCGCTGTATACAGTGAGGCGTTGTTCCCGCTGCCCCACAAGAGGGCGTTCCAACACACGAAGGATCCTCATCACCTGCTCCGTGACGTCAGCAGCTGTGATCAACTCCGCGTAGTAGCCATCGCGGGCACAGCTCAGTGTTTCCCCGTAACTCCTCGTGTCATCACGTAAACCGTACGGATCGTGTAGCCACATCACGAACAATCTACAAATTGTTGGTGATGGAAGAAAAATAGAATAAATTTACATGAGCATTACAACTTATAACTATTTCTAAACCACAAATAGGCCAAGGTAAATATCGCCTTTATAAAAATAGGGCGGCCACCGAGGGGGTTTTTGGTGAGTAAAAATCTCACATAACCCTGTCTTTTATAAAAGAACTTTTGTCTTTTATAAAAGACAGGGTATCTTTCGAAGATTTTTCCCCTCGAAAAAAAAGGCCAAGGTAAATAAACTTGATTTCTAGACTTACAATAGTTAATATGTCGCGACTCGAAAGCACAACATAGAAGCAGAGCTAGAACTAGAATCTAGAACTGTGGATGGTATTTGTAAAGATGATAGAACGATTTAGATTTTTTAATCCTCAACATATCAACCAAATTAATCGAATTCCAATCTGAAAAGATATTGCCAACAAAAGCCAAATTTAATAACATCTACCTTATCCGACCTTCAGGATCAAGATGGTTTAGCAGCTGAGTGTAATTATCGTAAAGACTATCGGTGAGCAACACAATAGCCTGCTGACAAGAAGGCGGCCGGTCCAAAGTCCCGCGTTGCTTCTGCAGAAGTCGCACAGAATATTCCAGAACATCTCCCATCCACGTTTCGTTCCACATCTTGAAGTGAGCTAACGCCGCCATTATAGCTGCGGAGTTCACGTGATTTGCCTATGGAAATAACGATAGCTGTTAAGATTAGTTTTATGTCTTACAAACACTGGAAAGTATATTAATCTCTAAGCTTTAGAGAGTGCACATCTTTGATTAAACAATTGCAGACCTGTTGTGCGATTGTCGATTGTTTCGCAGCCAATTCAACTATTTCACAAGTAACAATTTAGTAGTGTTCGCACCCCCATATAAGGGCATAGGAATGTGAGGGTAAACAGTTCCATAGTTTAGTTAGAGGTGTACACTCTGCAACAACTGTCTGTAGTTGTTGCATCTGTTCCTCTGGTGATACGGATGTCCATGGGCGTCGTTGACCACCTTGGTGTTCTCGCCGTTCGTTTGCCCCCTTTTTTTTCTAAAAAAAACACTGTAATTCCTCCTGTTCTAATAATTTTATTTCCCTACTAGCTAAGCTATTATTTAAAAAATATTTTCATCTTCTCACCGAGACGAGTTTGTCATTGAAGCATGTGATAGGCGACCGCACGG